GGTCTAGATAAAAACTCAACCCCAAGAGTTTTCCAAGTTTTGTTTCCTTTTGTGATTTTTTTATAGTCGTACCTTATGCCCTTGTTTGTTGTGACACCACACAACACTGCCTTAACTTGAAAGCCTGAGCAGAGAATAGAACGCAGGTTGTTGGCTGGTGCTCCGGTGTGGTTTCCTCCTTCTTTCCTTAAAAAAATCTCTCGTCCTTATCTCTCCTCCTTTTTTGTGTTTGTTACTCTCTTGTAACGCCTCTAATTTCGGCCACATATCATGACTTAATTGAGCTGCAAGTGCCGTGAAACGATTACTAAAACTAAAAAAAAAAAAAGCAGAATAGAACACTGGCGTCAGTGGTGTTACGGTTAGGCTGTTCATCATCACACGCAGACAACGTAAGTTCGATTCTCGTGAGCAGAGTATTACAATTTGTTATCGACCGAGAACGGAAGTCTTGTCTGCTGAGACGTTGTATACCTCTCGGTTATAGACGACCCTGGCAGGGTCAAAGCAGCCTGTCCCCTCTCATCTTTAAAGATCTAAATTGTGTCGATGAGTGCGTAAAACACTTATAAATACAATTACAGTTTGATAATAGGTGTATGCTCTTGTCCATAGCTCATGATTCTAGTTTCGACAACTTCTTAAGGAATAAGACGTCATATCAGTAGCTGAGAAAACTCTTGCTCAGCATAATCTCTCCATCTACTTCACTAGCGCCCGTCGTGGAGTTGGAGTTAGAAGCTTTGCTGTCGCACTCAGGAGACCCCAGTTCGAGACTCGAGTGGGGAGAACATTTTTTTCGAGTGTCTCAGTCTTTCTTTTGCGATGCTGTACCGTTCTAAAAAATGGTGAAATGGTATAATTATGTTTAACGCCACTATCAACACTATTAGGTTATTTAAGGGGCGGGCCTCCTAGTTTAACGTCCGTCTCCGATAGGACCGAGCCAAGAGGGAAGTTCGTGTAAAGTGCCTTTCCCAAGGTCACAACGTCGGACCGAGCTGAGGCTCGAACCCCCGAACTCGCAATCTCACGATTACGAGTCCGGTAGCCTTACCAGAAGGCTACCGACCACCTACCCTTCTCAGCCCGGGTTGGCCCTGATAGGCATTGTTGGGTGGGAAACCCGCCTCCTTAATGATATAACCTGTGTTGATTGGGGCGTACAAACACATTTTGAAAAGTTTACTCTCTTACTATTTCTGTCCTGGGGTAGAGTCTCCACTTCAGTCCTGCTGTTTTTCATCTCCTTTGGGTCCGAATCTATGTCAATTCTTTTAGTTTTAGGCCTTTCTTTCGTGTTCAGCTGTCAACAACTGCAACAATTTTATGTTTGTTCGTCCACGGGAGGCACGTCACAGCCGTGAACTGTCGTGTCGTCCTGGGATCGTGCAACTGAAAAATATATTATGCTCATGCCTTTAAAAATGTGAATTATTGAACACATTTTGACAAACAAAATGGCCGGCTGAGTTTCTGGAAATCTTTGGTTTATTGGTTCAAACATTCAGATTACGGAAGACGCGTTCCTCTAGAAAATACCCACAGGAGGTGATGCATTTTAAATCCCTATGGACCCTATTGAGATTTGGGAAGCAGCTTGCTTCTATCTCGGGATATTATATTTGTACTTCCCTGTGCGGGACTCAACCTGCCATCTTATGTAAGCGAGGCAACGAGCCTATCCATTACACCGCAAAAACACCGATTTCAAGCATTGTCTGTTATAGCCTGGTACTGTAATACGACAAAACAGTTGACCAACGTTTTTATCCATGAGTTATCGACAATGAAAATTATAGGCGTGTGCAGTAGACTTCTCTCATTTTCCTCACAGTCGGTATGTTAGTGTTTTAGTGCCTTTAAAATGGCAGCTTGCACTGTACGTTTCCCAGGAAGTTGTGATTGTTTCAAAATGCCACCAGGTCTGCTGGGGTAATAATATAGATTGTAAAGCGCACAGAGCTTGCTGTTGAGCTGAAATTTGCACTTTGCAAATGCCATTTATTATTTATATTATAATTTTGTTCGCAACTCACTAACAAATCTGTTGGCCAACAATACTGCGGTACTTGGCGTATTCCACTCTTGCAATTAGTTACATGTTTTCGCGAAGCCTGGAGAGGTGTAAAGCTCACTTCGCTCAAACAAGTTAACGGACTGAAACATGCATTTACAATGGTTGGTGTCGTATAACTTTCTCGGACAATAGAACGCTCATGTTGTGTGTGAGCTGTGTGTTGTTTCTTGACTGAGTTGAACGCCCTGAGAGCGAGAGGGGGAGGTGCTCACGGGATACGCAAACAGACACACACGCAAACAGTAACCCC